CTCCCAGCGGCAGCAACCAGCGCCAGTAGCACCTCTAGCTCCAACAGACGCCAACTAAAGCACCCTCAGACGCACTAGCGCTAGCAGAACCACCAGCGCCAACACCCCCAGTAGCTCCAGCTCGAGCAGCACCAACCCTAGTAAGACCGGTAGCTCAGTATCGCCAATAGCTCCAGTAGTACCTCCAGCAGGACCAACTCTAGCACCCCCAGCAGCACCCCAAGTCCTTGCAGCTCTAGCACCGCCAGTACGAGTACGACCAGTACCAGCAGGCAACAGTAAGTACCTCCAGCTCCAGCACCACGGCTCCAGCGATAGGCAAACCACTCGCGCAACTCCTATGGAGAGAGTGGCTCCCGCCTCGACGAAGCACCGCCAGAGGCCACAAGAGCAGACCCAGGCACCCTCAGGCTCCACACCCCCAGGCTCAGCACCCCCAGACTCAGCACCCCCAGGCTGAGCACCCGAGACTCACCACCCCCAGGCTCAGCACCCCTAGGCTCCGCACCCCTGGACTTAGCACCCCCAGGGCTCCGCACCCACAGGCTCAGCACCATCCAAACCCGGCACCTACACGCTCAGCACCTCTAGCAGCACTAGCGTCAACAGCTACCTCGACATGCTCGACTACGTCTACCTGGGACACACCTGACGGGCAGGACCCTGAGGGGGGAGGGGGCCTTCCTGTGGAGGGACCTGCGCAAGGAAGAGCGGCGGCGGGGGGAGGGGCGCAGTGCCTTAGGGGAAGAGACGGTAGTAAGGCACCGACTTGTCAAAGGTGACGTCCTGGGAGGACAGGAAACACGGCGCGAGGTGGGGTGGTAAAACTGCCACCCAGGCGCGTCAGGGGGGAAGCCAAGGAAGACCGCAGGGAACAGCACGGGGGGGACAGCTTGTCCGCAGACAAGTCGCGGACAAATGCCCGAGATCCCCAGACCCGAAACGCAGACGCATCGCCAACCTTCTGCGTCACACGCAAGGCGGGGGAGGTCTCTTGCAAGGAGACCCGGGGCTGAAGGTTGAGCTGATGCGCGGCGTACTGAACCGCTAACGGCCACAGAAAATGGGGGGCAGGCGCATGCATCATGGACGTACGAGCGACGTCCAAGACGATGCGAATGCGGCACTCAACAATCCCATTTTGCTATGGTGAGGCCGGAAAGCGTGAAGGTCTGGCGGGATGCCCTGTGCACGAGAGAAGGCTCCTAGACGGGCAGAGGTAAACTCCCCGCCTCTGTCAGAGTGCAGACGCAGACAGGAAAGTCCGAGCCGAAGCTCTCTCTGAGCCGGTGACGAGCTGCAGCAAAAACCTGACTCAACGCAGCTACCTGACCAGACTTAGCAACCGAAGGAGACTCAGTAGTAAGTGTGTACAGGCTCGACCCCGGCCGACGAGTAAACGTGGCCAAGTGGCGGCCCATCCGCGCACAAGTACAGTGGGTCACCTGCTGACTCGCAGGAATGAACTGGTCAACCCCCCGATTCTGTAGATCAACACCACTCATTAAGTTTGTAGAGAACGAGGGAGGTAGAGACCTGACAGGGTGCTAAAGGGGGCTGCTGGACAGGGTAAGACACTGGAGAAGCGAGCAAGGACAGGACCCTCAGAGGGGTCCGCCAGGGAGACCGCAACCGGCCGGCTGAGCAGCGTAAGCATGGTGCGGTCTCGAAAGAAGGAGCGGGAAGCACTCGAGTCAAGAGTGAAGGTGTGTAAGGCATGAGATGACGTGGTACCTGAGAGAGCAGACTCACCAGCACTTGGGGCAAGCAGACGCACTAGCACCTAGAGCAGCAGCCTCACCAGCACCTAGAGCAGCAGCCTCACCAGCACCTAGAGCAGCAGCCTCAATGCTTGGGTCAGGCGGAACACATAGGTAACAGACACCCTCATCACTAGTAGGCAATGCATACATGGCACTGAGGATAGCACCATAGTCAGAGTATAGATATCTACCCGCAGCCGAAGCAGCTCCACCCAGTCGGGGAGCTCTGCCGCGTCGCCAAACTCTGTACGGCAGGCGTCGCTCAAACGGGCGAAGCAGCGGTACTCTGCGTGACCAAACGTCCCGCAAGTCTGACTTGTCCGAGCACCAGTGCAAATGACGTACGGACAGCGAGCAGTACCCCGTGACTCGTCACGCTGAGCGTACCACTGACGAAGCTTGCTCTGGCAAAAGGACCCGCTCGCGGACGACGCTGAAGCTGCATCTGGCCACTACAAGCAGCTGCAGAACTACTCACTCCAGGACGACTCCCACTAACGGCCACCCCGACAACCCCAACTAGCGTACCACTCACGAAGCTGTTGGGGGGTGAGGGACTCACGAGCGGGCGATGCTGCAGCTGCACCTGGCCACTACAAGCAGCTGTGGAAGTACTCACTCCAGGATGACTCCCACTAAGGCCACCCTGACAACCCCAACTAGCGTACCACGCACGAAGCTGTTGGGGGGTGAGGGACTCACAGCGGGCGACGCTGGAGCTGCATCTGGCCACGCCAGGAGCAGCAGTAGCAGTAGAAAGAGCAGCAGCAGTAAGAGCAGCAGTAAGAGCAGTATGGGCAGGGCAGTGCTCACCAGTGGCGAGAAGGGCAGGCGTAGGATGGCGGCAACGACGAGGCCGCTACCACTTTAGAGCGAGAGCTCCGCGGCAGCTGCATGGGCGGCTGCTCCAGGGGCGGCTGTTGTAGGGGCGGCTGCTCCAGGGGCGGCTGCTACAGTGGCGGCTGCTCTGGGGGCGGCTGCTGCAGTGGAGGCTGCTCTAGGGGTGGCTACTACGGTGGCGGCTGCTCCAGGGGCGGCTGCTGCAGTGGCGACTGCTCCAGGGGCGGCTGCTGCAGTGGCGGCTGCTCCAGGGGTGGCTGCTGCAGGTGGCGACTGCTCCAAGGGGCGGCTCGGCTGCTGGGGGACTCGGCGGCTCAGCTGCTGGGGCGGCTCGGCGGCTCGGGTGCTGGCTAGGGGCGGTGACGGGGCCGCGTAGGGGCGGCTACGAGGCCGCGTAGGGGCGGCGACAGGGCCGCTAGGGGCGGCGACGGGGGCCGCTAGGGGCGGCAACGGGGCCGTGTAGGGGCGCGACAGGGCCGCGTAGGGAGGGAGGAGGGCGATGGGGCCGCTAGGGGCGGCGATGGGGCCGCGTAGGGGGCGGCGACGGGGCCGCGTAGGGGTGGCGACGGGGCCGTGTAGGGGCGGCAACGGGGCCGCGTAGGGAGGGGAGCGGCTACGGGGACGCTAGGGGCGCCGACGGGGCCGCGTAGGGAGGGAAGCGGCTACGGGGCCGCTAGGGGTGGCGACGGGGCCGCGTAGGGGCGGCGACAAGGCCGCTAGGGGCGGCAACGGGGCCGCGTAGGGGCGGCAACGGGGGCGCGTAGGGAGGGAGGCGCTGTAGGCGACACGACAGCTACCTTCACACAACCTCCTCCAGCTGCCCACACCTCCGACACACACCCCCTGCTCAACCCTAGTTCCACTCCCACAGCACCCCCTTTCACACACCCCTTGCTTCACCCTAGGTTCACTCATACCCCACCCCCTAGCACCACTCCGTTGACTCCCACACACCCACCCCTCTCAGCGGTAGCTGCAGTAGTGGGGAGATAGAGGAGGAGGAGGAGCAAGGGAGACCACACACCCGCCACCCCCTACTCCCCACCCCCAAACCCTAACACACGGCAGGGCAGGATGGCGGGTAGGGATGTTACGGGGGGGGGGGAGGGAAGGGGGGGGGGGGGCGATGCGCGGCCTCCCAGGGCGCCAAAGCAGGCGGCAGAAGGGGCGACGCTCGCACCCCCCCCCCCCCCCCCCCCCCCCTAGGTAGCCCCTCAGGTCGCCTCGACAGGCGACGGGAGAGGAGGGGGGGGCGGTGCACGTGCCCCCGGTGCGCCGCGACAGGCGACGGAGCATGGCCGGGGCGGGGCCGGGGCAGGGTCGAGGCAGGGCCGAAAGGGGCGGCGACGGGGCCGCGAAGGGGCCACGAGGGGCCTGGAAGGGCGGCGACGGGCCGCTAGGGGGCGGCGACGGGGCCGCTGGAGGCGATGACGGGGCCGATAGGGGCGGCGATGGGGCCGCGAAGGGGCCGCGAGGGTCTGGAAAGGCGGCGACGGGCCGCTAGGGGCGGCGACGGGGCCGCGAAGGGGCCGCGAGGGGCCTGAAAGGTCGGCGACAGGGTCGTTAGGGGCGGCGACAAGGGCCGCGAAGGGGCCGCGAGGGGCCTGGAAGGGCGGCAACGGGGCCGCGAAGGGGCCGCGAGGGGCCAAGAAGGGCGGCGACGGGGCCGCGAGGGGTGGCGACGGGGCCGCGAAGGGCGGCGACGGGGCCGCTAGGGGCGGCGATGGGGCCGATGGAGGCGGCGAGGTGGTCACGAAGGGCGGCGACGGGGTCAATAGGGGCGGGGACGGGGGCCACTAAGAGCGGCGACGGGGCCGATAGGGGCGGCGACGGGGCCGCTAGGGGCATGCCACGGGGCGTGAAGCACACAAAGTAGCAGCGGAAGCAGTTGGGTGGGCCCACAGGCCAGGAGCGTAGATGCTCTGATAGCATGTGATGAATGAGGAATGAAGAAGAGAGGGTTTGCACTAGCAGCAGTTGGCATACATATAGAAAACCCTAATTGGGTTGTACTCGCTATGGAGTACCCCACTGCAGGCTAGACAATTATAACATTCTGACACTTATAGCGAAGCTTTTTGTTTTTGCGGATCACCTTCAATGCTAACAGATGTTGTCCCTGTCTCGCCGCTTCAGCCACACTTTCCCGTTGCTTTGTTCCCACCGAAGTCAAATCTCTCATTTGTGCATCCTTTTCCAAGTCAACCACATTGGGATTCTCGCCTTTATCGAGTCCGTCGAATCTTGGGCCAATCTTGTATGGATCCATCCCCGAAGAATAACCTGACAGAACTAGTATCCTAGGAAGACCTCCATTAGCAAAGGTTGTGCATGTTATTAGAGCATCCGTGAGAAGATTACTCAATATAATAATGATGGCTTCCACGGAACCCGCGTATGCAGGCAGGAGCATCTGGTCCCGCGCAGGGCTCCATGTTAGCATCTCCCTCCTCCGGCTCTATCCAGTCGCTATCGCATGACCCGTCACGCGGTAATAACAACCACGTTATGATGCTCATCGCCGCTTTAACCGTTTGGCCTGGTGTCAAAACATTATAGCTTATACATCTGTGTAGGCTGTAGTGGGGTAGCCCAAAAGGGGTACAACCCAATTAGGGTTAGTACTTGTACCCAACTCTTTTATAGTTCAATCATTCTCTCATTCTAACTTTCACATGGTATAGAGCTGGTTCCCTCGTGGGAACTGTTCCTAGGGCCCACCGATCCTTTTTTTTTCCTGCCCGGAAGCGCGCTTGGCCCCTGCCCGAGTCGCGCCCCGGTCGTTCCCCCCTCGCGGCCTCTAGCGGCCCCTCTTACGGCCCCTCACGGCCCCGTCGCGCCGCCCTTGCGGCCCCGTCGCGCCGCCCTTGGGCGGCCCCATCGCGTCGCCCTTTAAGCGGCCAGGTCGCCGCCCCTTACTGCGGCCAGCCGTCGCCACCCTTAGGCGGCCCTATCGCCGCCCTTTTCAGCGGCCCTGTTGCCGCCTTGTCGCGGGCCGCCGTTGCCGCCCTTTCACCAGTCGTGTCGCCGCCTTTCAGCGGCCCCATCGCCGCCCCTACCTGCGGCCCCATCGCCGCCCTTCACCTGGCCCTGACGCCGCCCTTATTCCGAGGCCCCATCGCCGCCCTTTCCGCGGCCCCGTCGCCGCCCTTTCTGCGGCCCCGTCGCCGCCCTTCAGCGGCCCCGACGCCGCCCTTTTGCGGCCCCGTCGCCGCCCTTTCAGCGGCCCCGTCGCCGCCCACTCCCTTTTCGCAGCCCTGTCGCCGCCCTTTCGCGGTCCCGTCGCCGCCCTTTCACCGGCCCCGTAGCCGCCTTTCAACGGCCCTGTAGCCGCCCTTTCAGCGGCCCCCATCGCCGCCCCTACCTGCGGCCCCGTCGCCGCCCTTTCAGCGGCCCCGACGCCGCCCTTCAGTGGCCCAGTCGCCGCCCTTCAGCGGCCCAGTCGCCGCCCTTCGGCGGCCCCGCCGAGCTGCCGAGCCATTGCACCGCCGAGCCGCCGAGCAGCCTGTGCTGCCGAGCCGCCTTTGCCGCCGAGCCGCTGAGCCGCGTTTTGCCGCCGAGCCGCACTGTAGCTGAGGCCCCGCCACCTGTCGGCCTGCCCGGGTCCGCCTCACTTACCTGGTAAGAGCAGCGCCTCTGCCATTGCACTGCCCTGCCCCAGTGTACTCACTGCCTCTCTACTGCTGTCATGGCCACCCCTAGTGTTCTCACCTTAGACGCTGAGGGTCGGGCAGTTGACTTTGAGGTCTGGGTAGATGATCTGCAGCTTTTCCTACAATGCGATAGGGCAGACGGTCCTCTCCCTGTTTGACCTCACTTCTGGTGCCTCTCTTGCCCCTGCTGCTGATGCTGATGCCACTGTTCGCTCACAGTGGGCCACGCGCGATGCTGCTGCTCGCCTTGCTGTGCGCCGCCACTTACCGACCACTGAGTGTGCACACTTTAGCCAGTACAAGAGTGCTCAGACCTTGTACAACGCTGTAGTTGCACGCTACTCTTCCCCTCCCACTGCTGCACTGAGCCGCCTCATGCTACCGTACCTCTTCCCTAACCTTGCTGCCTTTCCCACAGACGTTGACCTCATTACGCACCTTTGCACTAGTGACACTCGCTACCGCGCTGCGCTTCCTGCTGAGTTCTGCGCCAAGAACCCCCCCCCACCATGTACATCACCCTCTACTACATAGCCACCCGGCTCCCTAACTCTCTCCGCGTAGTCAGGGACCACTTCCTCTCTGTTTGCCCCACCACTCTCACTGCTGACGTCCTAGAGAAGGCCCTCCTAGCGGCAGCGAAGAGCTAAGTCGCTGTAGGAGCCTCTCGTGGTGACCCTCGCACCCCCGTCTTTGAGGGGTGTTCTCCCTCCCCCCTCTTGCCCTCTGTTGCCTCTGCTGCTGCGGCCGACCTCGTTGGTTTTGAGTCAGTCGGTGCTGCGTCTGCCCCGAGCAGGAAACGCCGCACCGGCAAGGGCAAGGGGGGGAAGGGCGCTGGAGGGGCTGGCGGGGGCGGTGGAGGTGGTGGTGGAGGCAGTGGAGGTAGTGGGGGTGGTGGTGGGAGTGGTGCTGGGGTTGGTGGCGGCGGCGCCAGCAGTGGAGGCGGCGGAGGCAATGGTGGTGGCGGAGGGAGCGCAAGCGGCGGAGGTGGCGGAGGAGGTGGAGGTGGAGGAGGAGGCGGAGGTGGAGGAGGCGGCGGAGGCGGCGGCGGCGGCGGCGGTGGTGGAGCGGGTCGCGACTCTGCGCAGAGGAGTGGCTCAGGTTGTGGTCCGCGACAGCAGCAGCGGAGTGGTGTGACTTTGTCCCCTCAGCAGCTTCATGAGTGGTACACTATGCGTCAGCGCAGTGGGGGTTTTGGTCCCTACACTTACGTCCTCTGTACCGGCGACCGAGCTAGTGAGCAGTGCGGAGGCTCGCACTCCACCCAGCGCTGCATCGGTCGCCTGACGGACGCGTGGCATCGCCAGTTCCCTGAGGCGTCAGAGATCCCTCGCTGAGGAGATCTGTCTAGGGCGGGGGTTGCCATCTTTGATCTTGACTATGATGCTATCATTGCTGCCATGTATTCTGTGACTACTAGTGTTGAGGGTGACTGTTACCTGTGTGTACCGCGTGACCCGGGCGTTGAGGCAAACGCTCTAGGTACTGGTGAGGCTGCTGCTCTAGTGCGTCTGCTACCCTAGGTGCTGGTGAGTTTGCTCTCTCAGGTACTACGTCGGCTCAGGCCTTCCACACCTTCACCCTTGACTCGAATGCGTCCCGCTCCTACTTTTGAGACCGCCCCACTCTTACGCCGCTCAGTCGGCCGGTTGCAGTCTCCCTAGCGGACCCCTCTAGGGGTCCTGTTCTTGCTAGCTTCTCCACTGTCTTACCTCTGGAACCCTATCAGGTCTCTACCTCCCCTCGTTCTTTACGAACTTGGTGAGTGGAGCGGACCTAGAGGATTGGGGGGGTTGACCAGTTCACTCCTGCGAGTGAGCGAGTGACCCAGTGCACGTGTGCTCGGACAGGCCGACACTTGGCCACGTTCACCCATTGGCCAGGGTCGAGCCTATACACCCTTACTACTGAGTCTCCTCCGACTACTGAGTCTGCCCAGGTAGCTGCGTCGAATCAGGTGTTTGCTGCAGCGTCCAGGACTGGTCCTGACTCGGCTCCGTGCTCGTGTCGTCTCCTGTCCCACCAGACTCTCCTTTGGCACCACCACCTTGGTCACCCCTCCTTGCCTCGTCTCCGAGGCATCGCCTCCCGTGTCCTTGTCTTTGGTCTCCCTCGGTCTCTCCCTCCCCTACCTCTGGGACCTGGCCCTACCTGCGTCCCCTGCGTCGAGGGGCGACACCACACCGCCCCTCACTCCTCCGAGTTTCCTCCGACAGAGGCTCCGCTGCAGACTCTCCACATGGACATGTGGGGCCCAGCCCACGTCAGTGGGTAGGGGCGCGAGCGGTACTTCCTGCTGGTGGTTGATGACTACTCGCGTTACACCAAAGTCTTCCCCTTGCACAACAAGGGTGACGTCACTGAGGTGTTGATCGACTGGATCCGCGCAGCTCGTCACCACCTCAAAGAGAGTTTTGGCTCAGACTTTCCTGTTCCGCGTCTGCACTCGGACAGAGGCGGGGAGTTTTCCTCAGGCCGTCTGGGAGCCTTCTGTTGTGCACAGGGCGTCCGCGAGACCTTCATGCTTCTGGCCTCTCCACGGCAAAATGGGATTGGTGAGCGCCGCATTGGCATGGTCATGGACGTCGCTCGTACGTCCATGATGCATGCGGCTGCCCCCCATTTTCTGTGGCCGTTAGCGGTTCAGTTCGCCGCGCATTAGCTCAACCTTCAGCCCCGGGTCTCCTTGCCAGAGACCTCCCCCGCCTTGCGGTGGACGTGAAAGGTTGGCGATGCGGCTGCATTTCGGATCTCGGGATCTCGGGCGTTTGTCCGCGACTTGTCTGCGGACAAGCTGTCACTCCGTGATGTTCCCTGCATCTTCCTTGGCTTCCCCCCTGACGCGCCTGGGTGGCAGTTTTACCACCCCACCTCGCGCCGTCTTCTGTCCTCCCAGGACGTCACCTTTGACAAGTCGGTGCCCTACTACCGTCTCTTCCCCTACCGCACTGCGCCCATCCCCCCGCCGCCGCTCTTCCTTGCACCAGGTCCTCCCCTGGTAGACCCCCTCCCACCTCAGGGTCCTGCCCCCTCAGGTGTGTCCTAGGTAGACACAGTCGAGCCTGTCGAGGTAGCTGTTGACTCAAGTGCTGCTAGAGGTGCTGAGCCTGCGGGTGCCGGGTCTGGGGGTGCTCACACTAGGGGTGCTGAGACTGGGGGTGCTGAGTCTGGGGGTGCTGAGCCTGGGGGTGCGGAGCCTGGGGGTGTGGAGCCTGGAGGTGCGGAGCCTGGGGGCGCTGGGTCTGCTCGTGTGGCCGCCGGCGGTGCTTCGTCGAGGCAGGAGCCACTCTCTCCGTAGGAGCTGCACGAGTGGTTTGCCCTTTGCAAGAGACGTGCTGCTGAGAGTGGGGGTGCTGCTAGGGCTATTGGAGTTGGTCCTGCTGAAGCTGCTGGCGATACTAGTGCTGCTGGAGCTGGAGCTGCTGGGGGTGTTGGCGCTGGTGTTTCCACTAGCGCTGGTGCGTCTTGGGGTGCTGCTGAGGCTGCTGGTGCTGACGGTCCTACTGGAGCTGGAGCTGCTCAGGGTGTTGGCGCTAGTGGTGCTGCTAGCGCTGGTGCTTCTAAGGGTGCTGGAGTTTGCGCTGTTGGAGCTGGAGGTGCTGCTGGCGCTGGTGCTGCTGCTGGGGGTACTAGTGTCGTCCTTGCTGGTTTTGTAGGAACTGCGTGGCCGAGGCCGTACTTTGTTCCGCTCCTGGAGCAGGTTCTTGGTCTCCCGCCCTCTCTTGGTTCTGCTGCTCCCTCAGAGTTTCCACCGCCTGTCCAATCACAGTCACAGTTACAGCCAGCCTCCCCTCTTCCTGCTCCTTCTCCCTACACTAGTCCTACTAGAGGTCTTGCTGAGCGTCGTGAGCCTGCGTCTCGTCCTGCGTCGCCTGTTCGTGCTGCTCGCACTAGTGGTCGTACTGCGCGTCCGCGTCCTCCTGCGGTCCCTGGCACACACCAGATGGCGCCGCGTCCTTCCTTTGCTCCTCTGCGTGTCCCGTTGCCGTCTCCTCCAGAGTCCTCTCTTCCTGCTCTTGCTGACCCGTAGTCTTACTCCCTTCGTGCTGCTAGTCCTTCGGTCACGCTTCTCCTTGCTACTGTTGTCACTGATCCTTCCTTTGAGTCCTCTGGTGGGTCTGCCCTAGTTGCTGAGCTTGTCGACTTCGTTGTTCGCTATCGTCTTGACTATGCTGCCTATCTCGTTGCTGAGTCTGAGTCAGTCTGTCCTCCGTCCGTCGGGGGTGAGTGTGCTCTTAGCACGGACGTCCTTGAGGACAGGCAGGAGGAGTTCTAGTGCTTTGCGGCTGCTTTGCCCCATCTCGTGTCCACGCTGATTGCCCCTGAGGGAGACCCGGATACACCTGACATCCCGACTCCTCTCAGTGGCAGTCAGCCATGGATGCAGAGATGGCTTCGTGGAAGTCCATAGGCACCGACGTCGACGAGGTTCCCCCACCAGGGGCAAACATCGTCGGAGGCGTGTGGATTTTCAGGGTGAAGCGGCCGCCGGGTTCTCCGCCTGTCTTCAAGGCACGTTATGTATCTCGAGGCTTCAGTCAGCGGCAGGGAGTTGACTACTTTCAAACCTTCTCTCCCACCCCGAAGATGACCACTCTTCGGGTGCTGCTGCACATAGCCGCTCAGCGCGACTACGAGCTTCACTCTCTTGATTTCAGCACAGCTTTCCTGCAGGGCAGCCTGCACGAGGAGATCTGGCTGCGCCGCCCACCTGGCTTCACTAGGTCGTTTCCCCCTGGTACCTAATGGAGCCTCCGGCGGCCAGTCTAGAGTCTCTGCCAGGCACTCCGTGAGTCGCACGACACACTGAAGACTACACTTGCGGCTCTTGGGTTTGCTCCTTCTACAGCCGACCCGTCGCTGTTTCTACGCACCGACACCTCTTTGCCGCCGTTCTACATCCTCGTGTACGTCGACGACTTGGCCTTTGCCACTGTTGACACTGCTGGACTCGCCCACGTGAAGTCCGAGCTGCAGAAGAGACACACGTGCACAGACCTGGGTGAAATGCGCAGCTACCTTGGCTTGCAGATCACCTGGGACAGAGCACAGCGCACCATTACCCTGACTCAGTCACACATGGTGCAGCAGGTCCTTCAGCGCTTCGACTTCACGTACTCCTCGCCTCAGGCCACTCCTCTGTCTACTCGCCACTCGCTCTCAGCTCTGCCTTCGGATGAGTTCGTAGAGCCGAGTGGCCCGTACCCAGAGCTTGTTGGCTGCCTCATGTACCTGATGACCTGCACACTACCTGACCTTGCATACCCTCTTAGCATCTTGGCACGCTATGTTGCTCCTGGGAGACACCGACCAGAGCACATGGCTGCAGCGAAGAGGGTGTTGCGCTACGTGTGCAGTACGTCGGGCATGGGGCTAGTGCTTGTAGGGCGACGTCGAGTGGTCCTCACAGGTCACGCTGACGCTTCTTGGGCTAACGACCAGGCTCTGCAATGGTCGTCACAGGGTTACACCTTCAGTCCTGGCTCCGGCTCTGTTTCGTGGCGGTCTACCCGCTCGTCTTCTGTTCTCAGCTCCAGCTATGAGGCTGAGATCTACGCAGGGGCCATGGCTGCACAGGAGCTACGCTGGCTCACCTACTTGCTGGCTGACCTAGGAGAGCCGCCTTGTTCTCCTCCAGTTCTGTACGTAGACAACAAGGCCATGCTGGCCTTGTGTCGGAAGCACAGACTGGAGCACAGAACGAAGCACATTGCTCTCCGCTACTTCTTGGCTCGTGAGCTGCAGCAGCGTGGTCAGCTCCGCCTCACCTACGTGACATTTGAGGCCAACACTGCTGATATCTTCACCAAGGCCCTTCCGCCTTGTGATCATTAGCGCTTCCGTACTTTGCTAGGTATTGTGTCTACCTGGCCTCACTTGCTCACTTCTTGATCTTGTTTGTACTGTACTCTTTCTATACCTGTACTTGCTTGTTTACCTTTATATATATAATCTTGCATGTGAACTGGCCTTGTGGCCTTACTCTTGTACTCGGACTGTGTGGTGACTTTGTGATCCACCCTGAGCTTGCTTTGCTTTGCTTGACTGGTCTTGTGACCACTTGTTCTCCCCCAGTTTTCCTATGGGGGTGTGTCAGAACATTATAGCTTATACGTTTGTGTAGGCTGTAGTGGGGTAGCCTATAAGGGGTACAACCCAATTAGGGTTAGTACTTGTGCCCAACTCTTTCATAGTTCAATCATTCTCTCGTTCTAACTTTCACACCTGGCCGCATTCGCTTTTATCCTCCACTGGCACAGTGATTTTGATATGTTAGACGACAGGCAGCCGTGGCCGCGTAGATGGCATCAGGTGGACTCTAGAAAACCGGAAGAGAGCCTCAGGACACCATCGGATTAACTGTGAGACACACCAAGGAGCTTTAAACCGGACATGTACCCGAATTCGTCGATTAAAGTGCTTGGGAACCTAAAGGGTAGTCCGAAGCTACTAATAACTATGACCACGTTGAGCGGCGCACAGCAGATTCTGCCGTAGATTATGTACCACCGCACGATTGGCATGCACTACTTCATACTTTTTGTGGAGGGGCGAAAATGTGGCGATATTTGAGTCCATGGGGGTCAGTTTCCCTGTGCCCCCCTGCTTTCTGCCTCTTCCCCCCCTCCCCCCCCCCCCCCCCCCCCCTTCTGTCCTCCTCCATTTCCCCTTCGTTTAACCTCCTCTCACTTTGTGCTCACGTAAAAGACGTTGCTCGAAATTCGGATATTCTTCTTCCTTTTCTTATCACTCCACCTTCCTCGTTCGTCTGTCCAACTCGAGAGGGGAGCGGGAAAAGGATGTGCTCGGTCGGGGGGGGAGCAGCCCATGTGGCGACGAGCAATTGAACCCAACACCATCGTCACATCGAGGGGTGCCCCGAAGGTGAAGAAAATGTGTGAGGTAGACTCAATCTCGTGAGAGGGGCATTGCGAGCATCGGCCCCCTATATGTTGAAAAGATGAACCGGGAGCCCGAAGGGAGAGAGCATGTGTAGAAATTGTAGAGAACATCGTGCTGAAGGCTAGGCTGTTCGCGAAGGAAGGCGTGGGAGAGGTCGGGGAGGGCGATGGGTAAGGGGGAGGAGAGGGCATGGATCCAACGGGAGTCTTGGTTAAACGGGTGCCGCGTATAGAGTAGTTGCGGGAAAGCAGAGAGGCATGGGACACCATTGCGAAGGATCTCCAACCGTGCGCCAAACCCTGCACCTGTATAAAACGGACCGGCCACCCAATCACCTCTGATGTGGACCGCTACGACGTCTTTGATATGGAAGATACCGGAACCGAGAGGAGTACGCTCAAAGAATTCGTTTGGCAATACCCGGTGAAGAGTGGCGGAGACCGAGAAAGGAGGGGTGAACGATGTCGTTTGGAGTATGAGGGAAGGGGCATAGCATAGGTCGGAGTGTGGGATAAACCAGTCCCCTGGGGAGGCAGAGGCAAAGGAGGGGGCAAGAATCTCATCCTTCCACAGTTTGAGAACCGCTTCCAGAACAGCAGAGATGACTTGGTAACCGGATTGAAGGTCGGTGAGGGGGAAATAGATGGTGAATTCACTTTCGGGAATGGGGCCGAGCCCGTCGACTCCAATGGAGCCCCAGATAGGAGCCATTTCTTTACGTGGTTGCGACTGATTCAACTGTGACGTTGTTGTTAGTTAACAGGTTTGCTTGAAATCTCTTGTAGAGAAATATTTGGTGGTAACCAGTTTCGGTTTATGGCCTCCAAAAATCGTTCAGCCTTCGTGGTACTGAAGGGCCTGCCGTTGAGTTTGAGAGCCACAAGGGAGGGAGATTGCACAACGTGCAACTTCCTCAGAGGGCGTTGCACCAAAACAACGGGGGGCGGGTTGGATGGTGGGAGCTTTGATTTGAATGGATGGGCGGGTAGCACCGTGTTGCGTCGAATTGCAAAGAATCCGGTATGGGATGATGGGCATGGCGAAACTAGTTTCCTTAAACCGAGACGATGATAGGAAGGTGCTCACAACAGTATATTGTATGGCAAGTATGTCACGGGGAGGAGGTTGGAAGCGACCAGGGAAAGAGAGAATGGAATTAAAGAAGGTTGAGGCATGAGATTTGTGACACGTGGCGATCACGCGGAGGGCCGCTAAGAATTTGGCGGAGCGTTCAATGCGAGAGAGAGTGGTGGTCCATGTAGTAGTGTTTGATAAGTTTTCTCGAAATATTCCAAGAATACGCTCAGCTTCATTGGAAGCCTGGATGGGGATTTTCCCTGCGTCAGTAATGAGGCTTTCTGGTATATTGAAAGGGATGATGGGGCATTTATTCTAGTTGGGGCGTTCGCTAGAGATTGACGCAAAGATCATGAGATGGGCAATGGAAGTGTTGAGCTCTTTGTCTAGTGAAAGAAAGATCGTGATATCGTCTGTATAACAAACAATGAGACGATTGTTCGTGGGCGATAGGGGGAAGTCAGGGAGGTATAAATACATGTAACGATGTAGAATCTTGATAGCATAGACGGACACAAGGGGGCGAGTGGGCATCCTTGTTGGACGCCACTGTGCACAAAAAAGAGGGCACCATCCATATTATTCACAGGGATGCAGGTAGAAGCGTTGGAGTGTATCAAGACGAATCCAGTCAAGAATGTATTCCAGGGTGCCGAGGTGGGAGAGAGCCTGGAATAAGAAGGATCGGTCGAGCAGGTCATAAGCCTTACAGAAGTCTACCGTCAGGACAAAGAGGGGAGTGTGTGTGAAAGTAGCCCAATCTCTACTATATAGCGTATCATTAAACGTGTCGCCTTTGTTTCAGTATTTGATGAAGGCTGTTTGAGAAGGGTGTATGATGTGAAGAAGGAGACGTTGGAGACGGTTAGCCAAGCAGAAGGCTAACACCTTGTACTCCGCAACCATAAAGGTGATGGGGCGGAGATTGTCTACTAGGGAGGCGTCCCCCTTTTTGGGAACGAGCACAGTCCGACCAAAGAGCATAAAGGGGGGCAAAGAAGGGGGCAGGGAGGATGGGGCCAGGAGGGACAGGAAGGCTGGAGCAAAGCAAAAACTGTATATTTGGAAATGTTCTATGTCAGATTATAATGCTTGTCTAGTCTGTAGTGGGGTACTCAAAAGTGAGTATAACCCTTTTGGGCTTGCTACTTGTATCCCCCTCCTTTCTAGTTCAACTCCTTCTTCTCCTATTTCTCTTTCATATACCCTAAAACCTAGCTATGGCTTCTTAGCCTAAGTTCCTCATTCTTCACATGCTATCAGAGCAAAAAGCTCCTGGCCTGTGGGCCCACCTGCTTCCGCTGCCCTACTGTGTGTCGCGTGCCCCGTGGCGCGCGACCTCCTATTTTTTCTTCCCGCCACACGCTCGGAGCGCGTGGCAGTTTTCTGCCCGGCGTGCACCCCGAGGCGCGCAGCGGGTTCCTACTTCATGCGGTGCCCTGAGGGTCCGCGCGCCGGCCCCTCCCGTCACCTCGTCGCGGCGTCTTGGGGGCCCGCGCGCCGGCCCCGACCGTCGCCTCGTCGCGGCGTTTTGGGGGCCCGCACGCAGGCCTCTCCCGTCGCCTCGTCGCGGCGCTTTCGGGGCCCGCCAGCCGGCCCTCCCGTCGCCTCGTCGCGGCGCCTTGGGGGCCGCGTGTTAATTGTGTAAGTGGTTGTGGTATTTTGCTCTAGCTGGTTGTGGGCGAAGGGTTTGGGCAAAATGTGGTGATTAGCCTTGTTGCGGGCTGGTATTGATCTCGCACCCAACCAGCACTAACAAACCTTTGCTATTCACTACAACACCTTTGGTGTTGCTAGTTTAGCACTTTGGGTTGTTGAGGATTGTTATAGGGCGAGGGTTGGGTTGGTAGGGTTTGAACAACTCGTCACTTTTCAGATCTGAACTCTTGCTTAAGCTAGTCTTTTGGTCTAATCCATGGCTGCCTACTAATTCCGCCAGAATACACCGTCGCACTTAAATCGCGATAGCGATTGGCCTAAATCTTGGTTGAAAGCGTGCGTTACCATTCTGGAAAGTAGAGATTAAGACCGTTCCAACGCGTACCTGCTCATAGTTTAAGGTTACGTGAGCTGCACGCAATGTTCCGTCGAAGTCGGCGGACTTAATCTCTTGTACGCTCTCCAGATTCACGCGCTTTCCATCAGTGGTATCAGAGCTGGTTAGGCCTGCGACATTCCCTCCTATTATCATATTACGAATTGGCTTAAGAATCTCCAGATCTAGGGTTGGTTATGGCCCATAAATTAGATGGCCCTCCTAGGTTCACCGGCTCAGATTTTTCGCTATGGCGGTTCCAGTTTACGCTTTGGCTAGGTATCAAAGACCTAGAAGGCGTTTTGGAGGGATCGGAGCGAAGACCTGAAGCTGATGAAGGAAAGGCATCTAATGGAGTCTCTAGCCAAGTGGGAGAAGGGGCTGGGGGAGCCTCTAGCTCATCTATAACTGAGGGAAGTGGAGGTGGACCAGCAGCACCGCGAACCGGAAGGCAACGGCTTAGTTAAGAGGAGCTTCTTAAGGCACAAGAAGCATGGGACTGCAAGGACAAGCAAGCGTTCCAGTACCTTTGTTGGGCCTTGGAAGGCCAGCTAGAGCTCCTAAAGATGCTGATTGAACTGAAGGGCAAGCAACGAGCAGCTGCACTAGCATGGAAGAGAGTTCAAGATCGACATTTGCAAAAAGGGTTGTTAAGCATACTCACCTGGAGGAAGCGGTTCTACACCATGGAACGCAACTATGGCGATGGGGAGACCATGGTGCAGTACCTCCAGAGGGTGGATGAGTATGTGAGGGCATTGGAGGAGCTGAACTATGAAGTAGATGAGAAGGAGATCATCTACACCGCACTCCAGGGGCT